TTTGACTAACAGGTCGAACTACAAATGTTCTTAAACCCTGCCGACTGCCATTGGCGAATGCCAAATAAACGGATCACCAGGCGTAATAAATGGATCTTATTTATAAATTAATACCAAACAGAAAACAATAAACTTGCGGCAAAGATGGTATACCGCAAACAAAAGGTGCAACGATTTTTGTACACCATATCCAGATTTCGACAATTAATGTCTCTTCAGTGATGTTAGGAATCGAAACGGTATATATACATACAAGTCTAAATTGAAAACAACGTTCAAACCTATGATTGCGTTGGATAAAAATCGCAATTTTTATACGTGTGCATGCAAAACAAATTTCTTGGTAGAGGGGTCTGAATACAGCACAAACAACATTTTCCAAAGACCAAATGACGGAAAAAGAATATTTAACAAAACACATTTGACTAGCAGGTCGAAGAACTGATGTTCTTAAACCCTGCCGACTGCCATTGGCGATAGACAAATAAACGGATCACAAGATGTAACAAAATATATTTTATTATTAATTTATTACCAAACAAAACACAATTAACTTGCGGAATTTAAAGATGTTATACCGCAAACATGAGGTGCACATAATTGTACCCAATATCCGGATTTAGACAATTAATGTCTCTTCTGTGATGTTAGGAATCGAAACGGTATTTGGAAGGCCATTTAATTTACCTCAATTTAGGATAGACTATTGAATTTTGTAAGAGTCAAAACAGGATAAACGGATCATATAAACCCGAAGGCAAATATAATACAAGCCCAAACGAAAAAATATAAACAAGTCTAAATTAAAAACAACGTCCAAACTTATGATTGCGTTGGGGTCTAAATACAGCACAAACATCATTTTCCAAAAGACCAAATGAATGAAAAATTATATTTTAACAAAACGCATTTGACTAGCAGGTCGAACAACTGATGTTCTTAAACCCTGTTTACTGCCATTGCGATTGCCAAATAAACAGATAACAAGATGTAACAAATAGATCGTATTATTAATTTATTACTAAACAAAAAACAATAAACTTGCGGAAAAAAGGGTATACCGCAAACATGAGGTGCAAAAATTTGTACACCATATCCAGATTTCGACAATTAATGTCTCTTCAGTGATGTTAGGAATCGAAGCGGTATTTGGAAGGCCATATAAATTACCTCAGTTTATGATAGACTTTTGAATTTTGAAACAGTCAAAATAGGATAAACGGATCATATAAACCCGAAGAAAAATATAATACAAGCCCAAAAGAAAAAATATAAACAAGTCTAAATTGAAAACAACGTTCAAACAACCAAACCTATGATTGCGTTGGATAAAAAAGAGCAATTTTTATACGTGTGCTTGCAAAACAAATTTCTTGGTAGAAGGGTCTATATACAGCACAAACAACATTTTTTCAAAAGACAAAATCAGTGAAAAAGTATATTTTAACAAAACGCATTTGACTAGCAGGTCGAACAACTGATTTTCTTAAACCCTGCTGACTGCCATTCGTGATTGCCAAATAAACGGATAACAAGATGTAACAAAATAGATCTTATTATTAATTTATAACCAAACAAAAAACAATAAACTTGCGGAAAAGATGATATACCGCAAACATGAGGTGCAAAAATTTGTACACCATATCCGGATTTCGACAATTAATGTCTCTTCAGTGATGTTAGGAATCGAAACGGTATTTGGAAGGCCATATAATTTACCTCAATTTAGGATAGACTCTTGAATTTTGTAAGAGTCAAAATAGGATGAACGGATCATATAAACCCGAAGGCAAATATAATACAAGCCCAAACGTAAAAATATTAACAAGTCTAAATTGAAAACAACGTTCAAACCTATGATTGCGTTGGACAAAAACCGCAATTTTTATACGTGTGCATGCAAAACAAACTACTTGGTAGAGGGGTTTAAATACAACACAAACAACATTTTCCAAAAGACCAAATGAGTGAAAAAATATATTTTTGACTAGCAGGTCGAAGAACTGATGTTATTAAACCCTACTGACTGCCATTGGCGATTGCCAAACAAACGGATCACAAGATGTAACAAAACAGATCTTATTATTAACTTATTACCAAACAAAAAACAATAAACTTGCGGAAAAGATGGTATACCGCAAACATGAGGTGCAAAAATTTGTACACCATATCCAAATTTCGACAATTAATGTCTCTTCAGTGATGTTAGGAATCGAAACGGTATTTGGAAGGCCATATATTTTACCTCAATTTAGGAAAGACTCTTGAATTTTTAAAGAGTCAAAATAGGATAAACGGATCATATAAACCAGAAGGCAATATATATGGGTCAAATGATGCTTATTAGTTAGACGAAACATGTATCTTTCTGAAAGCAACATTCACTTACCGGTCGTGATGGTGCATTGCGAATAAGAATTACGATATCGAAATATAGCTTTGTCTTGATTAAAAAAAAAATAAGACGATTTGATATACAAATAACAACATGAACAAGCTAAATATGGTTTTTATTTACGAAGGGTATTGTTCAAATTCATTACATAAATATTGTATCAATAAAATATGTCAAGCAAAAGTCTGAAAAGTTGAGGATGCATTTTAACAAGATTTATAAATGAATGATAAACATGCAAATTTGCTTTAAGAACATAAAGTAAAAATCCTGTAAATCAGTGGTTGTCGTTTATTGCTGTGTTACATATTTGTTTTTTTCGTATTATTTCATACATACATTAGGCTGTTGGTTTTCTCGTTTGACTTGTTTTAAATTTGTCATTTCGGGGCCTTTTATAGCTGACTATGCGGTATGGACTTTCCTCAATGTTGCAGGTGACCTATAGTTGGTAATTTCTATGTCCTTTTGGTCTCTTGTGGAGAGTTGTCTCATTGGCAATCATACCACATCTTTGACACATTCCCCATTTCCATTCTCAATTTTATTTCATGTAACATTATTAGACAGCAATCACAAAATATATTGGAATCAAGTTTTCTCTGTACAGAGCCCGTTGTAAACACAATTTGCAGTGACATTCTAATGTTCAGATTCGTTATTTTACAGTTTTTTTCTCAGATAATTACTTGTATTTCTATGTTTGACGTCATATCAATATTGTCACTGCACAAACTGTGCCAAAAACAGTTAAAATTATTACTATTTATCAATGCAATAGAGACCAGATTTCCCATATATAGATTTTGTGTTTATATAAATAACAAAAATAAGAATAATCTCAAGATATAAACTTTTGGTAATCAAAATAAAAAATCATAAAATAAAATATAAAAAAAAAAACATCCATATAATTGCTTCAATTGAAAAAGGCAGACAGAAAGGTATGTTGCTATGTATTTTCATGGAAATAATTCATATAACGAATAACGAATGTGCAAACATGTATGTTTATGCACATTTTTCTTATTCATGTATCCTTTCATTCCGACAAGCATAAACATTGAATTAATAAAGACGGCAATGAAATCTTAAACGAACCTTTGGTTCATGTTGAAAGCAAAATTATATATTACTAAACGCTGCTTATTCTTTCTTTTTCTAGTTATCGTTTTTGAGTGGCATCAGCGACGCCAGTGTGCGGTGTGTGTAATCTTCATAATATCACAGAACTATCAGTGACCTTGTGTAAAGAATGTAACGGAGGACTTTGTTTAAAATGTCAAGAACACCACAGTCTCTAGAATGGAACACTAAACCATAGTACTGTACCAATAACTGAATACGAGAAATTACTAAGTGATAATCTCCAAATAGCCCAAAACTGTAACACACATAGCGTAGGTTATATAATTTACTGTAAAAATCATGAAAGTCTCTGCTGCGGTAGATGTATTGTAGAAAGTCACAACGAATGCGGAGAAACCGCAAAATTGGCTGATATAGTCACAAATATAAAAACATCTAATGCCTTCTATGAAATTAAAAATTCGTTAGAAGAACCCGATGACATTATTAAAGAAATGCAGCAAAACAGAGGGAACAACCTTACGTCGTTATCTGAAAGAAAAGAGCATATTTTGCATAAAATCAAGCAAACCCGGTTAACAATCAACAAGCATTTAGACGAAATACAAGATGACGCAATAAATGAAATAAATACAGCTGAAGAAAAAGAAAGAAGGGACATTTGTCAGTTGCTGACTCTATTGCAGGAAAAAAGAAATGAAATAACTGAATGCCAGAGAAACATTACGAAAATTCTGAATCTTGACACAGATCTCCAGACATTTATTGCTATGAAGGAGCTAGAAAAAGAAGTTTCAAGCAAAGTACAATTCATGCATTCCATGACCAAAACTGTGGACATTAAAGAAACAAATATGTCGTATCAATTTAACACCGGCATACAAAAGTTCATCTCGGAGACCCAAAGTTTAGGGGAATTGATAGTTGAGACGAAACCATGTAATATTGTCTTCACAAGGGAGAAAGACAAACAAGCACAAATGGTGCTTCAGCATAGCTCACCAAGGTCAGTTGAAAATATCAATCTGAAGCTAGATACCACTTTAGATAATACGGGATTCTGCAAATGGGGTTTTATGCATGTTACCCGATGGTAGATTCGCATTTACGGAAACCTTAAACAATCTTGTCAGGGTATTTAACACTGACGGATCAAAATATTTTGAAATTAAAACAACATATAGGGCATTTGATATAGCTTACATCAGTGAAGATAACACTCTAGCTGTAACATCAGGTACGGATGGAATGTGCATTTCAATAATTGACCTACAGAACAAACAAATTAAGAAAGAAATATATGCTGAATCATATTATCACGGCTTAGCAGTAATGGATAACAAACTCATCTGCTCTGCAAATAAAGAAGGAATACAGTGGTTTAATCCAAACGACAACTCAACAAGCGTTATAGTCCAAGAGGAATTCCCCACAATGTGTTACATTGCTACATTTGATGATTAAATTTACCATACAAATAACAAAACTAACTCCGTGACATGTTATGATTTACAAGGCACAGTGCAATTACCATTTGAGAAGAAAAGTGCTCTTAAGAGACCGTTTGGGATCTCTGTAGACAATGAGGGTAAAGTATACGTGGTAGGGAGGTTATCTACCAATGTAGTAGTCATATCTGCTGATGGACAATATCACAAAGAAATACTTACAGCCAGTGATGGTCCTTCCCATCCCTTGTCTTTGTACTATAATAGAGGTACCAATCAGTTACTAGTGGCAAACAATAACCAGAGAGCAATGCTTTTTTCTTTAATTTGAAAAAACACTTGTATTTAATCCACCGACGTTATAATAGTTTTGTCGAGCCTGCGACTTCTGTCGAAGAAAATGAGACATAGGAATAGTGATCCAGCAGCGGCGGCGACGGTGGCGTTAACGACGGTGGCGTTAACGATGGCGGTAACTAACTACTTAAAAGCTTAATATTTCAGAAGGTAGAAGGCCTGGATGCTTTATACTTTGTATATAGGTGCCTTATGTTATGAAGTTTCCGTCTCTCATATGTCCATTGTCCTTGACCTCATTTTCATGATTCAGAAACAACTTGAACGATTTTTTGTAATATTAATTCCTCTAATTATGAGTAATAGGATAACAACATTTGGTACGTGCGTACCTTATACGGTCCTCATGATTGTCAGATAGTTTTTATTATATCTCGACCTCATTTTATCGATCAGTGAACAAGATTAAGTTTTCGTGGTCAAGTCCATATCTCAGATACTATAATCAATAGTTTTACTATATTTGGTGTATAAAATGATTGTAAGGTGTATATGTCCAACTGGCAGGTGTTATCTGACCTTGACCTTATTTTCATGGTCCAGTGGTAAAAGTTAAGTTTTTGTGTTTAGGTTTGTTTTTCTAATACTGTATACAATATGTGAACTAAATTTGGTGTATGGAAATATTTTACGATTGCATGTCAGTCTAGCAGGTTTTATGTGACCTTGAACTCATTTTTACAATTTATTGACAATGTTATTTTTTTCATAAACTTTAATCATGTAAAGTTTATTAGATACTTGTAGTAAAACTTTATATTTAAGACTATCAACATAAATCAATGGTCAATAAAGCAGGCGAGATATTTCAGCGTATGCACTCTTGTATAGGATAGTAGCATGTTTATATAGAATAATTATGCTATTTCTGTTTATCCTTTTGTGTATAAATACCTGTTCAGTTGTTAGAATTCCTTTTAATAAAACATGAACTAATAGGGCATTAAAAAAAATAGTGAAAATAATTAGTTTTTAGCCTAATTTATTTCAGTCGGTTGGGACCCTATACTTCTAAGAGACAGATATAATCACGGAGAACAGCTGTGCTCTTTAAATTTTAGATTTCGTACTTAACTGTCCAAAATCACAGTTTATGTAAAAACTGAAGAAACATCATTTGTTAGATATGTTATCGAGAATACTTGAGTTATGTAGGCGATGTAATTGATGTAAACAATCCAAATTTCATCAGATTTGAAAATGAATTTATCCTTGTCCACTCACCATTTAAATGTTTAACTCACTGATTATTTTTTGAAATATAACTAGTGACAAATGACCGTTAAATAAATTGATATTATAGTATCCTAAACAAATAATCAACGTGGTTATATTTCTTTTCCTATTGTTATTCTTTCTCTTGTGCAAGTGGTAACGATGTTTTGTTGGATCCTTCTCTTTGGTGAAGATTCCCCAGTTGATTCTACAGGCACATTTTGATATTGCGATCTATGATTTTAATAGATCTTCAGTTTTTTTGCGCAAATTTGCCAGTTTGAACTAGCTTTACAGAAAAATATATACTCATGTCAAAATGTCATAAAATCTTTAAAGACAGTGCATTACTTTATGAATAAAATGATTCAAATATATATTAGCAATATAGTAATTCATTGTAAAAGACCAGGACGTTCTAACATATATCCACCACCATCGTGATGATGATGATCATCATAGGTATGCTATTCAATGATTTAATTATAATGGTTTGTATAGGATACAAATTGATTTCATTATCATCACATGTTCGTCTAGCATCGGTACAGTGCACTGACATTGTTATATGTTACATGTCGTGTTACAAAAGCCAGTTGTAAACTGAACATGCTGAAAATGTTTATGAAATTAAAATATATTGAGTTAAATACTATTATGCAGGTAGAATTAATACTATGATATATCTCGAATTGGACCTAGAATGAATTTATTCATAGGATGTGTGCTGAGATGATTTACTTATATAAGCTACGACTGAAATAAGTGCAATTCTGAACCTAATAGCATCAGTAAAAGGCGTTTTATGTCATATCGTTTTAGAGATATCTTAAATTATGTTGATAACAGAACTTTGGATTCTATTACGGTAGTATCCCCTAATATCAATTGATTATACTGGATTTTCTTGATTATAACCTATACTACGAATGTGATCCTCGTTTTTGTTCACAGGGTAGTTGCGCTCTTATCTCTTGTCAAGGTAACCAATCAAATTACAGAATAAGTCGGAATATTTCACTCCAGTAAAATGTATGTATTTGACTTACAATTTAAAATACATCAGAAGCATGAATACATATATTGTGAAATTTAAAACGCAATGGTTGTTAAAGGTCAAAAGAGTCACCCTGATGTTGCAATTATGACCTAAACATATCACTAGTAAACCGATATTGAACTGAAACGGCAATTCAATCTTATCAGCTCTGTACACGTATACCTAACAACAAAATTATTTGCATTTACCTGTGTTTAAAGTAATTGCAAATGGCTGATATTTTTGTTCGAGCATATTGTTTTCCTTAAATTGTTTAACATTTCATAGCGGTATAACATGTTACTTTTATTATTCTTCCATTAGTTTATTTATTTTGTATTTACATTGTATCATAGGTCAAATTTATTTGTTCAGTGTATGTTCACTGGTGTTAATATGTCCTTAGATTGAGTTAAACTATTTCAGTTGATATTTTATAGTGTGTCTTTCTATGTTGTGATGTTACACTATTGTTTAATCTGATGTTCAGTAGTTGTCGTTTGTTGATGTTGTTCATAAGTGTTTCTCGTTTCTCGTTTTTTATATAGATTAGACCGTTGGTTTTCCCGTTTGAATGGTTTCACACTAGTAATTTTTGGGGCCCTTTATAGCTTGCTGTTCGGTGTGAGCCAAGGCTCCGTGTTGAAGACCGTACTTTGACCTATAATGGTTTACTTTTTTAAATTTTGACTTGGATGGAGAGTTGTCTCATTGGCACTCATACCACATCTTCTTAAATCTACTTAAAAAAACAAACAACACAATTTTAACGTTGAATATTATGACGTTTTTAAACAAGCAGAACGTATTATGAGTAAACACTTTTTTCATTAATGTTGACGAAATGATGATGATCGAGTTGATAATGATGATGTTTAAAGTCGGCAGAAAGACATGCCATCTTACATGAATGGTATTTTATCCATTTTTATAAAAGACAATTAACAGCAAGCATAAAAAGTGATTGGTGATTGTTGTTTTTTTTTAACCCAAAAGACAATGCTATTGTTGCAAATAGTTCACGTATATTCACGATGACAAGTTAACATTAAATCAAACAGGACATGCAAAGTAAACTACTTTAAAAGTAATATGGAATGAAATGCAAAACATTTGTAACATCACTGGAAAATAAGGTCATTTTGGAATGAAGTATAAATCACAAGCTAATGATATATTAACAGCTTTTTCTTAATGAAGCACAATTTTTCTTTCTCAATTTAGTTTGCATATTGTATCTATACCTTGTGTTTACATTGTTTACATTGAAGACATTGCTATGTTGCCAATAGCGAGTCAACATCGTGTTTATATTGTACATCAATTCTATACCTTTGTGTTTACATTGTTTACATTGTAGACATTGCTATGTTGATAATAGCGAGTCAACATCGTGTTTATATTTCATAACAAGTCTATACCTTTGTGTTTACATCGTAGACATCGCGATGTGGACAATAGCGTTAGCATCGTGTTAATATTGTATACCATGTCTATACCTTTGTGTTTACATCGTTCACATCGTAGACATCGCGATGTTGACAATAGCGAGTCAACATTGTGTTCCTATTGAAATAAAGATTATATATCTATTTATGTTATTTATTTATACTAAGTCTCTAACTTTGTGGTTTCATCGTTCACACCGTAGACATCGCGATGTTAACGATGTCAACGATGTAAACAGCATATACGAGTTCTTATAATGTTAACTATTTTGACACGATATCGTGTTAACATTGTTACAGCGCGATGTAAACGATTCAAACACGATATATTTACTACATTGTATACATCGCGATGTTATTGATGTCAACGATGAATACAGTATATAGGAGTTCTTACAATGTCAACGAAGTTGACACGATATCGTGTTAACATAGTGAATATCGCGACGTCGACAATATTGTTTTTACATTGTGCGCTGGACATGAATGAGTTGTTTTGTTGTTTTATGGAATTATCAATTAAAACTCATCTGTCCAAGGGATAGGAAAAGCTTTAAATGGTATACTGTAACTGAATTTTAGTCTTAAAGGGTCATTTTGGTCTTAACATCATCTGAAAAAAAATCTTAAAAATGATTAGTTTTTTTAAGAGTTTAAGCTATTTTTTTTTTTAGATATTTTCAAATTGTAGATTTTAAATCAGAATCAGCTTAAAAGTATCACGACCTGCTTAACCTTGCGGAGTAACTTAAACACCCCTAGTTTATGACCAGTTTCTTCTTTAGTTTTCTATGTAATGTTTTGTGTACATTATTAATGACTGCATTTTTATAAATGCGCGTGTTTGTTCCAATCTTTATTTTCCTTAATATACATTTTGTATAAGGGCCGATAATTGTCCCTTCTCACTCAAAAGTAATATGCATGACCCGTTCTTACGTTATGTTGTTAGAAGGCTAACACAAATCAACAGATGCTGCTTCTTTTCTTATTCAATTTTATTACAGATAATATAATAGAAAAAAAGTCAACATACAGACGAAACTGCCCAAACAAAGAAACCACTTTGCAAAACAGTGTTTTAATAGACAAACTCTTCTTATTTTATGACTATTGTCGTGAGTTCAACAAACCTTATTACAAATTATTTTTTTTTAACTTTTCATCTTTTATCATCACCCTCATACGAACAGCTTAACACAACTAATTGTTTGTTATTTAATTATTTTAATTATTTGCTTATAAGCCTGGACAGCAAAACACAATTCTGAA